CATGTTTGGCCCATACAGTAAGCACACTACAGACTTTAGCAAGCAGAGCAGCTAACTTCCACTGGCTCAGTGGCTAACTTTTGGTTTAGCCCTCTGCTAACTTGAATGGTAATGAAATGATTTAATCTTGTGTCTCCTTTAGACTTTTGAAATGTTATTGGACCGAATGGATCAAATTCTGATATTGAAATGAATCATTTCACGGGGGTTATTATGCTCAAACAAATATATTTACTGATTTACAGACGCCTGTTTTACAGTGTAATGGCCCTATGGTATAATGTGACAGACCCAGAAGCTGTAATTCCCCTCATTCAAAAGCACATGCACCATGCACTGCGCTGTCAGTCCTTATAACTTGGTGCAGGTGACGGCAGGAAACATCAGACTGATAGTAAATAAGCAGATACTCCGCACACAAGAGGGCTGAATTGCTTCTTCTTTTAATTTAGTCTTCATTTGAAATGTTATGAACAATGCGTTTCACCCAAGGCGTCATCAGGTTTGATGATGGAGCCACTGTAATTCCACAATTTGGCCACTATGAAAATTGGCGCACTTCCTGGGGGGCCTGCATTAACAGTTGGTATTTTGGCTGAATTTCATGGAGGCTACAACAATGGATCAGAGAACTGTTCCAAAGAATCCTTCGAATCCTGCTGAGGATCAAGTCCTTCCTTCAGAGCATTTTCAAGGATGCATGTGTGTATCCTCTGTGGGCATCAAGTACCCGCAGTTCTTTCTTTTGCTTCAGTGATACACACCTGGGCGCTCGCTAGCCTGTTGCAATGAATGTTCACTGACTGTTAGGAAGGAGTCTTGCCTAGCCTCTGTAGGACCTGACTTGGAAGGACCCGTCCCACCAAGGAAGCATCCTTGACTTTGAGAAGCACCATGAGCGTTTCTCAATACTCAAGTTCAGCAGTTCGGACTTGTGGACTTGAAGTTGGTGCAGTTATTGCAGCAGGATTGCTTTACCTGCAGGCTGAGGAGGAGGCTGCCCAGCTGAGGAGGCAGATACGAGAAAGACAGCAGAGAATGAGGCGGAGGATGAGGATGAGACGTGCTATGCTTGCATGTCTTTTTTGTTTGATATGTTTGTCCAGTTGTGGACAAAGTACCCAGAAAAAGTAGTAATATCACAACAAAAAGAACAAAAACTCAGTCACAAGTAAAAGTGCTGCAAATCTGACTTGAGTAAAAGTATCTGGGTATTGTCAGCAAAATGTAGGCCTACTTAAAATGTTAAAAGTACTCATTGTGCAGAGTGACTCAATTTCAAGTGCTGTAATCATCATACACATGAATATGTATTGAGTATTAATTGATCCATTTACACGTAGGCTACATGTAAGCAGCATTTAAATGTTGTCATGGTAGAACTAATTTTAACACCTGTCACTGGTGCACTAGTCTAATCTATAACAACACACAGCAACTTGTAAATATGAAACTTACAACATATAAAACAAACTATCTGAAAAGTAACTATAGCTATCAAATAAATGTAGCTTGAGTAGAATGTACAGTATTTCCCTCTAAGGATAAAGTAGCACAAAATGGAAATACCCAAAGTACATCAAATTTGTACTTAAGTACATATACTTAGTTACTGTCCATCACTGCATTTGTCTCATCATTATGCTTTCTGTCTACATTTTTATGGGGACTTGGTACATCTAGAAAAAAAGAAAAGCAGTTTAATATTAAGTGTTGAGTTGTAGATTGTGGTGCTGTTGAACTGTACTGGATTATACTGACAGCAGTTTGTCATTTAGTCTGTCCTCACCAATATAAATGGATCAAACAGGTCAGATGTTCAGAGGAAAAGTTTATTCAGACATCAGGTATACAATTCATATCAGATAATCAATATTTAAAATGTTGTTGAATAAATACTACAATATATACAATTAATCTTTAAATACAATAAATTCTTAAAATCATTATTGAATGTTAAAAACACACAAATAAGCAAAATAATACAAAGAACAACAATAATATAATAATATATCTTATATACTGAGACTGAATGTTGCCCATTAGACATACCCCAAATGAATTACATTTCATATTTAACCACGACAGAGATTTTAGCGACGAATTTCAAAAGGACTACCCGAGAGAGGCTGCTGTCGGTGGGGCAGCCTGAGCGCTCATACACACGTTTATTATCTATGAGCACTGACACCGCTGTCATCTAGTGGGACCTCACATTCAAGTGGGCTCTATATTAATACATCGACCACGGGTCTGAAGTTTAAACTACGCATGAAAACATTCCGTGACAAAACAACAGTAACATATCGATAATTACGACTTACAATTGTGCGCCTTTCCCTCACTTGCCATTTCCGATGATTGTTGTGAAATGCATGCTGGGTTACCTGGCTGTCTGAAGTCCACACAAGTCTGCTCCAATGCATCCCGGTTAAAGGGGCGTGGTGAGAACATGTCCAGGCATTTGGACTTAACTTGGCTAGATGTGGACTTTGAATTGGAACAGTACTTGGGCTGTGACTGATGGCGTGTCACAAGTCCACAAGAACACAAGTCCGCACATTGAGAAACGGCTCATATGTCGCCTGATGAACATATCATTTTGCAGCATTTAGTGACACTTTCCTGCAGGACTTTTTTCCTCTACATGCACTCCCTCTCAGGGCCAAATTCACAAAACGATTGCGTGGCTTTTGCAGCCGCTAAACCGCTAAAAATGGAGCAAACAGATAACGTCTAATTCACAAAGCACGCGCAGAGGGTGAAATGCGCCACTAACTGCGCTGCCAAGCAAATTGCGTCTCGGTGCTCCGGTGTTATTTGCACGTATTTAAATGAGGTAATATGCATATATTTGGCGCAAAAATTGCCCCTTTCTATGCAAATGAGCCTCATTGATAAACAACGTCTAATTCACTCACACAGCGCTAATAACCACACGCAGTTTGAGTGAAGTAAATAACGTCTTTAGAAAGCTGGTGCAAACTGGGCGCTCCTCTGTGGAAGCCTCTCGCCCAGACTTTCCAGTGATCGTGGCAGCAGTGATCGTCTGTTAAATCAGTCTGTAAATAATATTTTGACATTATTATTATAATCATTATTACTTTAATGGCATCCGAAGATACTGATGCGTTGAACAGGTGACAGTCTGCGGCTGTTCTCAAAACGCACTTCTGTCACGCACTTCAAAAGCAGTTTTCAATCATTTATTTTACGAAACGGGGGAAACAAACGTGAACAAAAACGGTTCCATAATTCATATTAAATTCAAAAGATAACGAAAAAACAGCTACAAGTGAGAGGGAATAGTGATAAAGTGGTCAAACTTGGTCAAATCCACAGCCTCAACCCATCCGACACTGTTAGACTGACTCACCAGCAGACATCACTACATGAGGGTATAGCCTACAGTATTCAGTACCAGAGTTGGGTATAACGCGTTACAAAGTAACGTGTTAGAGTACTTTGATTACTTTTTGCAATAACGAGTAACCGAACGCGTTAGTTTGCTATTTGAGTAATCAAATACTTAAGTACATTTTCAGTTACTTCCGTTACTTTTAGAACGCTGGTCCTTCAGCTCCAAAACAGCAACGGCTATCGTTTGGTTCTAATAACGGAGATAACCTTAAACCTATCAGTCTGAAAGGAGTCATGAAGCTTGTGGCTCGCTACGTGGTAGAAGAAATGCTGCCGTTGTCTACGGTGGAGTCTAAATAGGTGGAGTAGGACTCGCTGACAGACATATTTCAGACTCAGGACTTGCATTATGCCTGGTACACGCTACACGCTGGTACTCACCAATTATCCCCGGTCGTCTTTCATGACGTGTGTGATGTCATCGGGTTATTCTTGTCCTGTTATTACTTTCACTATTATTTGAGTCACTGTGTGTGTTCATGTGCCAGCCGACATGTTGTTGTAGTCACCTAAAAGCGTCAGCAGGTGGCAGGAGCTACATTTGAAGCGCCATACGTAAACATTCAAGCTACTGTATCTTCCACAGGAAGTTCTGACAAATGTTTCAGAATAAAAGCCTATTTAGAAAATGGAGGGATTCTCTAGCCGAGGTTATAAGGGGCTTTTAATTTGAAACAAGTGTTGAGTTTGAAATGACGACGTGATATGTTAACTTTACAAAGACAACAGAGCGGATAAAAAGTAAATATATAAAAACACAGAGGGATTAATAAATAACGGACCGTCTGTAATGTAGTCTGTTTCAAATGAAGCTGGGAGCCTCTGCAGTTGTGGCGAGTAAAAGCCCTGCCGCTATTTGTTAATGTTATTACTTTATGTCCGACCGTGAGGATGTACCATTGTTTGCTAGCTTGATGCTAATGACAGTAACGTTAACTCAGCGGGTTGACAAAGTGCCTCTGCTGTTTCACACCATCATTCCCCCCTTTTACTCTGTGTGGTAACATCCCTAGAAGAAATATTAAAAAGTGGTCCATAACTTTAATTTTGGAGACAAAAAAATGTAGGCTTAGCGCCCTGTGGTCCATTGCCCAATGGGAAATGTAGAATACTCAAAAGTACTTTAAAAGTGCTTGAGTTACTTTTCTCAGGGAGTAACGTTGGAATTACTTTAAAGTAATTGAGTTACTTTAATCAGGGAATAATGCAATAAAGTAACTGGTTACTTTTTTATAAAGTAACGCAGTAACGTACTTTGATTACTTTTAAAGTAACCCTTACCCAACTCTGTGCAGTACTTTGCCAAACAAAGTCTAATTAGCATAACTAATACCAGCGCTAATAGCCACATGCAGTTAAGTGAAAAAAATAGCTTCTTCATGTGGCTAATTGCAATCAGGGGCAAATCAGGGGCAAATCAGGGGCAAACTGCACTCAGCTGCCAAACTTTGTGGGCGTGTTTGCGCTGGTATATCATTAGCTTTGTGAATAGGACATTAAGACGGAGCAAACTGCAAGTGAAGTGCAATTCAAGGTGCTATCAGTGGCCGCAGTTCATTCTTTGTGAATTCGGCCCTCAGCTCCTTTTCTCTTTCACTCCCTCTCTCCTACTCCACATGCACTCCACTTACTGACTGAAGTCAGGAACTTTTCTTCTTGCACTTCTTGCAGTCTACAATAACCTCTGTTGTATTCCCTGCCAATATCAGATTATCAGTTTGTACTTTGCTGTGTATAAAAGAAACCGGATGAAGCAATCAGCTCACAGCACTGCAGACGTGTCTGAGTGAGGCTGCTGTTACAACACTGAGGAGTGCGCTTTATTATAATCGCAGACTCCAACACGGTAAGACATTAGATCTACTTTAATTCCATGTTTATCATCACATGTCAGGAAGGGTATTTTATCAGCCTGCATTTGGATCAAGATCAGTACAGTTTACACTGAAAGATGAAACCATAAAGATTCTCATCATTATTTTAAATTCTGTCTTTTAGGATTTATAATTTCCCATTTGCTTGAGATACTTTCTTTGTCTGAGTGAGGTCCGAGGCTGCTACTTACTTACTGACCACTGTATCTGTACACAGAAGATGTTTCAGGAACATACTCGGGAGGTTCTCCATCAAGTGGACGCAAAAAAAAATCTCACCCCCCATGGAGATTTAACTGAAAAGGTGGATCTCCTGACACTGGTCAAAAAGAAGAGGAACTCAGTTTTTCCCTCTGAGTATGAAGTGATGTCTCTCACTCTTGGTGATCTTATCCCAGCATTCGCTGGATTCTCTGAGTTTGAAGGTACGTACACACATGTACAAAGAACACAATCTGCACCTGTCAATACTGGGCTTCGAGTATCTACCATATTTTCCAGAAACAACCCTCATCAAGGATTACAAGCACACTGGCCTGATCTCTGGGAGGGCCGGCATACGAGGAGGTGTTGACATGGCTTCAGCTGGAGTCAGTGCAGGAGCACTCAGACACAGAGAGACTTCATCTGTCGACATTAATGCAAAGACAGCAAACTTAAGCAAGATGAGGGAGATATGTCTTGGCCAGTATGTCTCTGTGAGCCTGTTTACACCTGCTATTAACATGCTTTTCTGTGAGCACAGCTGAGACACATTGTTGTTCACACCTGTGTCTATCATGTGTCTCCTGCTGACCACTTCTGAACATTTTCAGAAAGTGAGCCATTTTGCTTACCACCACAACTAAATAATGTATTTTTCATCATATCTCTATTTTAACATTCAGACACAGAATAGGTGATGTATGGCTCAGATATCCCTCTGCATATGTATTTTATTAACCTTATATTCATGAACTGATCAGCTCGCTCACTAAGATGGCCTGGGAAATTACTAAATTCTCCTGGTGTGCGACATGAAAAAAAGTGTCGAGTGACTTTTTTTCCATTGAAAATGCATAATTTTTTGTTGAGTGACACTTATCCAAAATGTCAAGTGCTCCAACATAAATTAGGCTTAAAGGAGACATTGAAGAACAGGTTTAACAACAACAAAACAATCAAACATGTTTCTGAAATACATTTCTCTGAGTAAATCTTTGTGTTTGACACATTCTTTTAAGCCATGTTGCTAAGGTCATGTTGAACATTGTTTTACTTTTTAAAGTCACTGTATTGTCAGGGTTAATGAACACATGATTTACGACAACATGTATGCAACAGACACAATATAAAAAGTCAAGCAGAGGTTCTCAGATACAGTGATTTCCTTCTCGCATCGCTAAGTCACCATTAACTATTCACGTGAATGAGTGATAATGTTGTATATGGTATCATTGTAATCCTTGACCAGTAATACAAAGGAGTATACATCACTTATTCTGTGTGAGGATGTTTGGTTCAGTAGATATGATGAAAAATACATTATTCAGTTATGACTATGAATGTTCAGGGCCAAGGTATATTTTTTATGAAAAAATGAGCATATCCCCTCAAATGCGACACATATCACCTGAGGCCTGTACTACGAAGCAGGATTTGCCGTTAGCGAGGTAACTTCGGGGTTAACTCTGGGTTTCCAGTCCAGAAGCTGGTTGTCTTTTTTCTGGGATAAATCACTGTGGCAACTTATGCTGGACAGTTAACCTTCTCCGGAGCAGGTTAACTTCAGGGTATGGGATCACAGGCTGTTAACGTGCCGAAATCTGACCAATCAGATCGCTGAAGAAAAAAGTATCTATGAATGAAGGTCTGGAGTGACAGGTTTAAAAGAGTGTAAGTTTATTTTAGTCCACAGTGACAGTGCTGACAGTGCTGCTACTTTTACACCCCGATTCCATCACCGCAGCTCAAAATAACATGAGACACGTGTGATGAGAACTGGGATAAAACAGATATTTCATTCGTAAAATTCCACGCGCTGTTAACTGGCTCCTGTTATCATAAATGCCACATTCAGGTCAGATAGACCTCATTAGTCATAACTACTTTCCCACTCTTCAGCACGACGTAATTTAAGTCTCGGATAACGCTGCATTTTTGGGTGGTGTTTTCAATGTGTCTAGATGTTCCGTTTTAAGATTATGGTTTGTCGTTTACATCCCGCACCACTGACATTTTACTGTCTAGTCAACAAAACACTGTCGCTACCATTTCATCTCATATGATATCAAGTAGTCTTCTTCATTCATGGTTCTGATGATGACGCTCACAGTTAACAACCCCGCCCCTTTTACATGAATGCGCTCATGGCTGGATAGCAAAACCCAGAGTTGACTGACCTAGTTGATAACCAGCTTTGTAGTACCGGTTATCCAGACGGCCAATATTAGGGTTAGTCAAACCTTATACGAGAAGATATCCTGGGTAAGTTCAACTGTCTTTGTAGTACAGGCCTCTGGATGAGTGTATTTTGTTTTGTATTCGTCCCGTAAACTATAGATTGTGTGCAAAGTGCGGGGAGTGTCGGGGAATATGTTGTCAACACTTGTTCACCAAATTAAACATAAAAAAGACAACATTTGTCCCACTGTCCATTCGATAGGACTAGTACCTTTAAAGGTATCCGCTGAAATAACCCTGTACCAAGTAGTATTGAAACCTCTCTAGACAAATGACTGATTTGATCCTTTATATGTCAGGGGTTCTGATCTTACTGAATTTTGGGCCAATCGGAGCGAAGGGCAGTCCACAGTTTGGAGTGTTAGCATGCTGACATTTGCTAATTAGTATAGTGCAGCTGAGGCTGATGGGAATGCCATGGTATTTGGTCACATGCAAGTGAACATTTTGACCGGGTGATGACATGTTTGTGAACCCTGTTGATACAGGTTGCACCAGAGGTGAAGTTACATGGCAATGAATTGAACAGTTTCCAAGACATTTTATTTTAGGCCTTCTTAGTCTTTGTCACTGCAGAGTGCTGGTTGTAATAGTCAGACTTATTCTCACAGTCTAAATCTACTGCTTTAATCTCTGCTTCTCTCTTTCTTTCTCAATAACCATATGACATAGAAGCCCAAAGAAAACTTCACCTGTTTCCCACCATCTGTATCCTCTCTCACCCGTAGGAAGATAAACCATGTCCACATGCCAACACTGAGGAAGGGAGAGGTGTTGGGTTTTGTAGATAAGATTGTGTTCAACACAAACGACGTCCCACTCCGTGGAAGAACTGAAGTGGACGGCTCCTGTGAAGCACGTTGGAACATAATGAATTTCTCTCTGAAGGTGAGGTCTGAATAATAACCACGTATGAAACCACAGCAGAATGATGGTGATGAGTGTTAAACAGAGCGGTCTGTCCTCCAGTCTGTTACTTGGAAATCATTCCAAGTCCAACACCTGGAAGGACGTCCCAGTCTGTCAAATGTCTGTTATAAGGCAACACTTACTGATGGTGTCTTCATCAGCATACACACCTGTTCTGTACTCACTTCAGAAAAGTAGCTCAGTGATACCTTGAGGTGTCTGCATCTGTCACATGCCCCACAAATCTGAAGATCTCAGGCAAAGCAAGAGTGTGGCATAGACCACATGACAAGTCACACAAGAGGCGTAACTGAAATAAGACCTCAGATTTATTGGCTCTTCAAGTTTTTACTCATTAATAAATTCATTTACATACATTCTTTCATTCTTTTAAATACTCATTTTCAGATTCTTTTACAAATCTTTTGCATGTTTAGAGCTTTTTGCACATGTACCGTGACGTGTTGTACAGCATTGCTGGCATGGCTGACATGGCTGGCTGAGTTGATGCTGGACGATGACAGGGATTCGCTGAGGTCTGATGCACTCTTTGCAAATGTTTTGTTCATTCTTAAATCTAAAATACTTCCAAAAGGTTTGATAAAGTGATGATTTTCAAATTTGCCCGTCTGCAGCTGTGACATTTAGCAAAATTTTTCACTGCGGGGTGCGTATATAGAATAGCTGCTAGTTCAGGAGGCGCTTGATTTGATATGCAGCAGAGTTTTCTATGAGCAGAGCACGAATTTTATAGGTCAATATTACAGTCAGTCATGTTCATTTATTTGTGCATCCACCCATCCGTCTATTTTCTTCCACTTATCCGGGTCTGAGTAACAGGGACAGCCGGCTGAGCAAGGTACTCCAGACATCCTTCTTCCCAACAACGCTTTCCAGCTCCTCCTTTGCAGATGACCTCCTATTCTCCTTCTCTCCACACAGATTTTAAATTATGTAGCTACAAGTAGGGATGCACAATTTGTTGGCATGTCATCTGTTTCAGCTGATACTGGTTTTAAAATTAAATATCAGAATCAGCCAACATGCTTTTTCTTATTTTGCACAATAAAAGGATGTATATACATTGAAAAGCATTCTACTTGGTGCGTGCATAATATGATGTTAATTCAACTGCAGAATAAAACTGATGATCACTAAAATTAGGTGGGAAAAAAATGGATATATCGATATTGATATTGGTTATTGGTCAAATGAGTTGTTGCCTATCGGCATATCAGATATTGGCAAAAATCCAATATCATGCATCCCTCGCTACAATGTTAGTCCCATATGTTTAGCTCAGGAGGAGGGGTCCTTGAGGCTTTGTTGCTGTTTCAGACTTTACAAAAGCCTTCCTCTTCAGCTTAACCCTATGGGCCCTAGGCGTTTTTGGGGTATTTTTACTGCCTTTACTTTTAAGCTCATATCACAGTCATTATAAAGGCTACGTACACATGCTATATCTTTTTTTTTTTCAGGACAATCTGGGCTAACCAGATTTGCCATCATTTCATGTCCTTCTATGTGCCTGTATTTTATGTACATTTTTATATCAATGAAAAAAACAAATCTGTGTGACTAAATTCTTACATTTGTACATGTATCTCACCATAGCAAGTTGAAAGAAGACATATTCTGCCATATCTGAAGAGAGGAGACTCTCTGGAATCTGGCAATATAAGAACCATGATGCTGGGACATTCTGTCACTTCACAGTTGTCCAAAACATGTGGTTTGTGCCAGGCGGACATGATTGCCAGTATTTTTTCATTATTGCAAGAAATTCCATTGACTCATTCACAAGTCAAAAATGTGTTTTATCTGAAAGAAACATGCAATATTTACATCTAAGATCATAGAAAAATAGTCAACCAAGTGCAATGATGTCCTCCAAGATAATATTTGCCACTTTGTTTGCAGTAAACAAAGTTTGTTGTTGTTTTTCAGTTTCAGTTATATATTGGGGGGGGCATTTTGGACACTGGGGTGCACACATGTCCCCCTAAATGTATGGTGGCTATTGCCCTGTCAGCATGCATAATTAGGCTGCAGTTGTCTGGGTGCGCAAAGGTGAAGTGGCTGGTCTTGTCATACAAAGTTTGATGGAGTGTCAACTGGACAATATGGAGATATTTGCATCTTGAAAGCCGGACTACAAATGTGGATAGACAGGGAGAAACACACGCAAGCCTAAGACGTGGTAAGATACGATATTCCTCACTATATGAAGTGACTGATAACAAGATCTGTATAATGGGTTGTAAAGAAATTCGTCAGGTTTTTATTTTGTAGACAATTGATCTGGATTTATAGCGTGATGGGATGACAGCACAATGATGTGTGTGGCCCTGCGCTTTCATGTGATATGCGTGGCATTTCTGTGTGAGCCTGCATTCGCGAGTAATCCATCCAAGAGTAATGGGTGTGCAAAGCTGTATGAAAGCTCTATTATACATCATTTTAGTGTAGCTTTATCATTTTTTTTGAAAATATTGGACTACCGACAAGGCCTTGTCGGAAAGCTATGATTCTGCTGTTTCACGTGATATGCGTGGCTTCTTGCTATGACGCACGGTTGCGGAGAAAATCAATAGAGAAGAACAGGTGTGAATTTGGACGCACTATGCATCATTCGGGCCCATAGTGTTAATAAATCCCAGGCAGGCATCCAAAGGCAGCAGGACTGATATGAATGCATTTATTTTTGTCCTTTTAAAGACAAAAACAAATAAAGGTCGGGTTGCAAACCAACAAGAAAACACAGCAACTCAACAGTTTCAGTTTCAGAGTGTTTGTGTTGTGTGCCTTTTGCTTTGTGTTTCTAAGTTGTGGTGTGTGTCGGTCTTGTTATTTATTGGTAACATGCTTTGGGTTAAGTTGGTTGGACGGCATTGAGAAGATGTCGTGGTACACCTGTTTGTTTACCTGCTGTATTTATTGTTTAATCAGGCCAAGATGAAGGACAACAGTTCCTATACTGTACCAGCAGGACACATTTATGGCTACAGGTTCAATGAGATCAAATTCAAGGAAGAGGAGGACGTCGGTAAGAAACAAAGTGTTTGAGCGTGTTTACACACCTGCAGCATCTGTTATTTTTTTTATATCAATAGGATCCCACATTATTAATGATTTACTGCTATTTCATTCTTTCAGAATTTACTTGCAGGTCTCACATTGAGTATGTTGGTGGTAAAGCGGAGGAACAGCCTCTCAGCCCTCCCAGTCCGATAAGATGTAAAACACTTTTCACACTGTTGCTTTGCTCTGTTCCATCTTGTATTTCACAGCATGCAAGCCAATCAACTGTCAATAACTCACTCAGTCTCTGACACTTCAAGTACTTTCATTACTTACACTTTGCTGACACCTCAGCTGCTTTCACTTTGACCTTTAAAACTGATTTTTGCTGTTAAAATGACAGTTCAACTAACAGTTAAAACACCATCTTATATTTCAGTCAGGAGACACAAATTTTCATCAGAGAAGGTAGCTAAATCTTATCTGTGTGTGTGTTTAAACTAGTGGTAGAAAAAGCCCTGGAACCAGAAACATTTGAACCTGACGACTCTACTGAAGAGACCCTGGAGACCCTGCAACAAGTGCGAGACGGTATGAGAGTGTTTAAGTGCAGATTTTACATTCCCTGCAATTCAGGGTCAAAAGTCTACAAACCTAAACTTTAAAATGCATGTGGGACTGATGTGACTGTGTTATAGTTGCTAATAACAGCACTGTTACTGCTCCTGTAGAGTTACTGATGACAGAAACTGTTCTCCAGCCACTGGCTCATCTTCCCCGGGTGACTCGTTTCACTTTGTTCCAGAGTCTCAGTGCGCTCTCAGAGGACAGAGACGCTCTGACTCTTCTGAAGAAAAAGGTATTTGGGGTTTTTACTGTTGGCCTCCACACACACCTTCATCACCCTTGTTGTTAGATCAGGAGGAGGACACGGGTTAAATGAACAACTCAAGATCCAAACACACACCTACTACAGTACCACCATGCTCTGCAGCCGACACAATCTAACAGTCAAGTGTGGTTTCATACAGCCGGCCACCCCGTGACCTCAATCTTTACTAAGAGACGTGGGTTTGGCAAAGCAGCTCTCAGGACTAGCAGGCAAACAGGCAGACTACAGGCTGGCAGGTCTGCTGCTAACACCTGTCATGGAGGTCCTCATGGTTTGCATACAGTCAGTCACTTTTTCTTCACTCACTCATCCCTGCATTCTTTATGATTTGGTGGGTTGGACATTGTTGACCACTCGCAGACGACAGCACTGGTTTATTTTTATCTACAAAGCAATATTGGGCAAACTTCTAGCCTACCTCTGCTGCACCCTTCTGTGTGTCAGCTCTGGTAGTTTCCAGCTACACTCCTCCAACTCTTTGATGAACCCTGAGTTTTAACAGATCTGGGGAATGTTTCCTACTCTGCACCTTGGACGTGGAACAATCTTCAAAAAGATCTTAAATTAGAAAAGCGGATATCCACTGATGAGTTTAATGGCATCATAAAGAATGTGATGACAGAGACATGAGCTTGTTTTTCTTCAGAGGGCACTATGTTTGAATAGTTTTTGTTTCATTGCGGATTTTTGTAATTGTTGCATTTTAACCTCTTGTACTCCACCCCCATTTTGTAGCAAAAACGCCTAAAATGACATACCCAAATTAAAATGTCTCTAGCTTCTGAACCGCTTTGACTACATGCATGAATGAGGTCTTGCCAGAAAGAAAACTCTCTGACGTTTCTTGTGAAAGTGTCAGAAACACTCTGGGTGATACAGAGACAGAGTAATGGGCCTCTGAAGTCAGTAAAAAGTTGAAGATTTTGCCTAAAAAAAAAAAAAAAAAAAAAAAAAAAAAAAAGATTTTCAGGATGAATAAGTGTCTGTGGCTTCATCTGAGCAGGTAAATGACACTGTGGGGCTGTAGGCACACTATCAATGAACATTTTTTTCAAATTTGAAGAAGACTGCTCAAAGTATGACCATTCTACAGTGTTTTTTCCATGTAAAGATCCACGCGGAGCTCCAAATGACAAGAGCGCTCACTCCGCTTCAAAACAGTGCTATCAGTGATCAAACAACACTCAGCCAGCTTCAAACATTGTACCTTATTGAAATCAGGTGTGATTATGATAGCAGATGTTGTTTATGACACAGAAACACCATAAAATATCACCAAATAAAGCCATATGAAACGTGAAAGTTATGATTCCACTTTCTAGCCTCTTGCACTCCACCCCCATTTTGTAGCTAAAACGCCTAAAATGACATACCCAAATTAAAATGTCTGTAGCTTCTGAACCTCTTTGACTACATGCATGCATAAGGTTTTGCCAGAAAGAAAACTCTCTGAAGTTTCTTGTGAAAGTGTCAGAAACACTCTAGGTGATACAGAGACAGAGTAATGGGCCTCTGAAGTCAGTAAAAAGTTGAAGATTTTGCCTAAAATAAAATATAAAATGATTTTCAGGATGAATAACTGTCTATGGCTTCATCTGAGCAGGTAAATGACACTTTGGGGCTGTAGGCACACTATCAATGAACATTTGTTTCATATTTGAAGAAGACTGCTCGAAGTATGACCATTCTACAGTGTTTTATCCATGAAAAGATCCAGGCGGAGCTCCAAATGACAAGTCTGTCACTCGGCTTCAAAACAGTACTATCAGTGATCAAACAACACTCAGCCAGCTTCAAACATTGTACCTTATTGAAATCAGGTTATTATGATAGCTGATGTTGTTTATGACACAGAAACACCATAAAATATCACCAAATAAAGCCATATGAAACGTCCTACTTTCTAGACGGTATATCTCAGCCAAAAATAGTGGTAGGAGTGAGACTCTTACCTTCTATAAACCAGCTAACTCCCCGCTAACAGCTCCACATAAGATCACAAGTAATTCTTTAACTTTTCCCATTGAAAAATGGCATGACATGACTTGTCATCACTCATCGCGATTTTGGACTTTGTGTGTTTAGGCTGCTCTGGTGCAAAATACATAAGAAATAAAAGAGAAACGATTTTTGAAAAGTCGAGAGCTTCCTGAATCTGGCAATACCAAACATCACATGGTTTGATGATGTAGTGCGCCTGGGAGATACCATTTAACAGAGGAGGAGGATGGAAGCGAGGATGGAAGCGAGGACGTCGGCGTCCAGGCGGAGTTAGAGAGGTCATTTTAATGTGTTTTGATTGGCTGCTACCTTGGCCAGGTGTCTCTTGTGAAAAAGATTTTCAATCTCAATGGGACTTCCTGGTTGAATAAATAAATTTAAAAAGTTGCCAATATATCTCTGCTGATCATCTAATCAATTAACTGACTACTTATTGCAGATCTAGTCGACAACTACAGAATTTAAACTAGAATACAAGGTTGTTGAGATCAGATTAACACAGCTTAGATTTGCTGTGTTTATCTACGCCAGCATTGTGCTTCCAGAAATGTTTATTGGTCATCGTGTTGCTTTGAAATATCACAACAGCTGTTGCATGGATTGCAATTAAACTGATGATCTGTTATAATTTATAGTTGACTTCATCCAACGCATTCATCAGGTCTAAACTTTGATTTTTCCTGTACTTCGGTTTATCTTTGTCTCCTCTCAGCTGGATCAGTGGCGTGCAGGTGAGCCTCTTGAGCAGCCTCAATCCTGGTCGGTGTGTTCTGTTCTTCATCTGCTCAGTGGCTTCGCAACCCCACCCTTACAAATAGGACCTCGTACGACTGACTTGACGCTGGAAGCTGTTTACCTGCTGGTCAGCGCAATGGACAGTGAGTCAGCTGTACAGTGCTCTGTGTCTGACTGGTTGGCTGTGTGCATGCTTTCTCTGGCTGGATGTGAAAGGTGGATTATATTCTCAATACAAAATCAGAGTTTGTGTGTTCTCATGGGTAGATGTGCAGATTTGAAAGATGAAGTGTAAATGATCAGAACTCGAGTTGTACTGCTTTAAAGTAACTAACCCACAGCAGTCTGACATGTTGTCTGAGTCAGCTCACATGTACCAACAGTTTCTGTGTGCTCCACAGAACTGCCAGAACATGTGACATCACTGATCGCCAAGAACCCCCATGAGAAACTGAAAGGCCTCAACCAACTGGTAAGTCCACTGGTTAACAAAGATCACTACACTCTGTTTAAAATACACACATACAGTGTAGAGATCCTTTCTTTTGCCTCATTTTTATTCATCTTTAATATAGAATACAGAAGAGACCAAGTTTTTACTTCTCTCTGAATTTTTCTATTTCCTTATCCCCCTTATTTGCCCCCCAGATCACGGTTACCCTCCACCTTTCTAGAGGAAACTGTCTAAATAATAACATGTATGAGTGTGAATCAGAAATCTCAGTGCTCCTGTCACTGGGAGCAAAAGTTCTTTCAGAGCCTTGATTGCATCCGTCCATATTTATTTCTCGGTTGAGAGGTGTTGATCCTGATCTTGCGTTGATCCTGAAGACAGTCGCAGATATAAAATATTAAATAGACAGTGTTTTGGTTAATTCATGTAGAGGCTTCCAGCGCTGCAGTCAGACTTGTCAGGCAGATTTTACGTGTTCTTTTGGAAATGGAAACTTTAGAGTCAGCATTGAACTGTGGTGGAGCAGGGGCCATTGGGAAGTGGGTGTTGTATTTCAGATCTTGATGGACAGAAGCATAATCTTTACATATTTCATTCTACAGTATTTACTGCAAATCATGTACAGTATTTCACATTTCACCAAAATAAACAAAATGTTTTGCCTTATTTTTCCCAGAGGGAGATTTGTTTTCTCAGCCAGTACCTATTCCACTCAGGACCATACAGTGTTGGACAGGTTACTCCCAAAATGAAATATATTACATACTTAGTTTGAAAATAACAAGTTACTTTACAATATTACTCTCTGTGGCGAGTAATATGTTACTTATCACACTACTTTTGTGTTACTTTCACCAAAATGAGCTCAGATGTTGATTTCACAGCAGCTCCAGTTTATTACGGTTCATTTCAAATCCAGTGCTGCGCAGGTTTGAGCGGTGTGAATGAATGCAAACAATAAACAGCTGATTTCAGGTGGTAACCTGTTACCAGGGGCGGACTGGGACACAAATTCAGCCCGGGACATTCAGGCACACCGGCCCACACACTGGTCCACACACTGGTCCACGCATTGGCCCACACGTTCTACCTATAATCCTCTATATGCTTGAACTACACAAACGCTGTCCTCAGAATCAACTGCATAAGAAAATCAGCAGTAATGAATTGGCCACAAATGGCCATGTGCTTATTTTACTTAAAATAAGAGCCTATGACTCTATCCTAATGCATCTAATTTTATGCACAGTATAATTGTCTGCCCTGTCCTGCCCTGCTCTTGTATTACATGAGCCCAGTTTATATCTCCATGGCTCACAGCCATGAACTAAGGAGGTATAAATTGAGCAATAGGCCCTATAGTCAACTTGAAGTCAACTTATTACTACAACAAAAGAATCCCACTTAGTACTACTAAACAGGCTTTCCTCTGGCTAAAATGTAATGCATAGTAGGCTTTGCCTTCACGTTGCACCTGTCATATTTCTGGTCTCATCCTCCTCCTCATCACTACTGGGGTTAGTCTGTCCCTCAGTTTCATTGTCCTTGGGACTGGGAGCACCACCTCACGTTAATTGCATGATGCATCCACAGGAAAAAAAGCAAGCACATATTTTCTTTTAATACAGGTTTAAATTATAATGATTTAATGCAATACCTAGTAGGCTAGTTTCTCTCTTGAAATGGACACCTAGAAGAAATACACAATTTGCCAAAGCCAGCCTTGCACATTACACACTCACGAACGTTAGCTAACGTTAATGCACCTGCTATAATGGCACTGTTGGCTCCAGCTCCATCTCTGTCATTAGCAACACCAGCAGCCTCAGCCCGTCGACCAACGCCGCGGCCAAACAGGTCGGTTATTTTGGAGCACTTTGCTGCCTCTTCTTGTAAAGATTTAAGTTTCTTTATTCACGTTTTTTCCGCGCCACCCGTTCTTGTTTTCCGTGTTTTCTGTCTAACGGTCAAACTAGCCTGGTCTGCCATGAGTAATGGCTGATGACTGCAGCCAATCAGATTTCAAGAAGAATGAGGGCCTCTTTCATATTGGAAGAGGCCGCTCTTATCTCCTCCTTCAAGCATCAAAACACAAGATTGACACCTATGTTCCCTCTGAACATCTCACAGCAAACAAACAACATGGGAGGGACGCGTATTGCAGCAATGACTGCTAGCAACTAGCGTGACATTCACTAGTCTCACCAGGCCGGCGCACGCCAGCCCACTTGGTGACCGGCCCATCGGGATTCGTCCTGAACGTCCCAATGACCAATCCGCCATTGCCTGTTACGCATTCCCAGGAAGCACCACTGTGGTCCTTTGACTTGTTGACTTGTGTTGTCCTGCAGGTGAGCAGCCTGATGGAGAACGGTCAGGCTCATCTCTCTGAGTCTCTGCCTGCTGCTCTGCAGGATGGAGGGCAGCTCCACTGGCTCGCCGTGTTCCTCTGCTCCTCCGATGAGTCCCTGAGAGAGCCGTCTGAGCAGACGATAGTGGCAGGAGATGAACCGGGAGTGCTGCTGTTGGCCCTGTGTGTTGCTGTACGGGGACTCAGCATGTTGCGGCAGTAGAATTACGCTGACCTGTTGCTTAGTCTTATAGCTGCAGTTATTATGATGGGAGACAAAAGGATTCTGGGTACATTTATGTGTCCTGCATTTAGGACCACTGGGAGTCAAAGTAATGGTCAGACTAAATTGTCTTTGTGTTCATCACCTGTTCTGTATTTTGATCCTGGGTATTTCT